AGAAATATAGTACTGGTGACCAAGCACAGACTTTGGAACTACATTTATATATAAACCCTAGTAATTGTACCTAACTACCTCAAAGGTTGCTACAGGCATTAAAATTAGTTTGAAAAAGTGCTTAAAACCATGTATTTTTTTTAATTAATTTTTTTTTTATAGAGGCATGTTTTTATTTATTTATTTGTTTGTTTGTTTGTTTGTTTTGTTTGTTTATACATGCACTGGGTACAGTCAGAAGCGCGGGAGGGTGAGAGAATTCACCAGAGCCAGAACGGGAGGCAGAGCAGGCAGAAGGACCGAAGTACACTGCTGAGGGGAGCAGCGGGCGGCAGGAGAGGTCTGCGCGCCATGTGGGACCCTCCTCCGGTGGCCGGGGAGCAGCTGGGGATCGAACTGGCGCCGCAGAGGCCGCGGGCAGCTTCGCAACCCAGCACTCAACCGCTGCGCCACAGGGGAGGCCCAAAACCATGTCTTGAACACCGTGTTTACAAATGGCATGGATAACGATGATATACTATACATTGTTTTTACTAAAAATCCCTATGTGAACCACTATTTTTCCAGGCTTTAAAATTCTGAACTGGGCCTCCCCTGGTGGCGCAGACAGTTGAGTGCGGCGCTGTGAAGCTGTCCACAGCCTCTGCAGTGCCGGTTCAATCCTGACCAGCCAGCAAGGGTCCCACATGGTGCGGCAGACCTCTTCCTGTCTCGCCCGCTGCTCCCTTCAGCAGTGTATTTCGTCAGTTTGCCTATTCTGTTCCCTGCTCTGTTTCTGGTGAATCCTCTCACCCTCCCGCGCATCTGGCCTGTACCCTGGTTCTTGCATAAATAAATAAATCTTTAAAAAATACAATTTTAAACTCATAATCTCCAAACACTTTAAGAAAATATTTTTTTTTTTTTTTAATAGAGGCATGTTTTATTTATTTATTTATTTGTTTGTTTGTACATGCACTGGGTACAGTCAGAAGCACGGGAGGGTGAGAGAATTCACCAGAGCCAGAGCGGGGAGCAGAGCAGGCAGAAGGACCGAAGTACACTGCTGAGGGGAGCAGCGGGCGGCAGGAGAGGTCTGCGCGCCATGTGGGACCCTCCTCCGGTGGCCGGGGAGCAGCCGGGAATCGAACCGGCGCCGCAGAGGCAGCGGGCAGCCTCGCAACCCAGCGCTCAACCGCTGCGCCACCGGGGAGGCCCTAAGAAAATATTTTTATTCTCATTTTACAAACAGATTCTACAGAAAAACTCAGAAACTTACTAGACAGAATAACCCAACTAGAAAATAGCCCAGCATACAAATTCATAACAGGCTGACTCTAATCTGCTTCAGATATTTTGTTTAATGTTATCAGGTACTAGAAGTTAAACTCCCCCAAAGAAATACATTACCAAGGCATACATAAAATCCCACATATATTTGTTTATATAAGTAACACAAGGATAATTCATATAGTATATAAAATTGGTTTATATATTCATTTAAACTATTAAAAATTAAGTAGAAATTTAGTGAAGGAAATATATATTACCAATAACAGCAGTTATCCTTTATTATTTTTCCTATAAGCTAGGCACAATTATATAATCACATTTAATCCTATGAAATAGTCACCATTATCTCATTCTACAGATGAGAAAACTGAAGTCTGGGAGTTATAAAATAATTTGATAGAAGTCGTACTTCTGAAAGCAGCAAAGCTGAAATTCAATTCCAGGTTTATCTGATGCCAAAGCTTATCACTTTGACCACCATTTATGCTGCTGTAAGGCAATACGTATTTTATCACTCACAAATTGCAATCTGAAATCTTTAACAGTGGAAAAATGCCTAAAGTAAAAAATCAAACAAAAAAGAGCTCTTTTAGTTCTTTAGCCTAACGTATACAAACACAGAGACAGTGAAGCATTGTCAGAACTATCAATACTAAGTTAAATGGTGTCCTTGGAGTCTTAGAGTCAGGAGGTAAGAAAGAAACCATTTTCGGGCCTCCCCGGTGGCGCAGCGGTTGAGCGCTGGGTTGCGAAGCTGCCCGCAGCCTCTGCAGCGCTGGTTCGATCCCCAGCTGCTTCCTGGCCACTGGAGGAGGGTCCCACATGGCGCGCAGACCTCTCCTGCCGCCCGCTGCTCCCCTCAGCAGTGTACTTCGGTCCTTCTGCCTGCTCTGCTCCCCGCTCTGGCTCTGGTGAATTCTCTCACCCTCCTGCGCTTCTAACTGTACCCAGTGCTTGTATAAATAAAAATAAATAAATCTAAAAAAAAAAAAAAATTAAAAAAAAAAAAAAGAAACCATTTTCATAATGTCTCTTAGAACACAAAAAGTGAGCCTCAAAATACTATTCCAAAACACTATGAAAATATGTAAACATGTTAGTAAGCGGAAATAACTGTTTCAAGATGTTATTTCCTTACCCTGCCCAACTATAGCAGTACAAATTAATCCATTTAAGTTCAAGTGATTTTGACTATTGCTTTTTATTTATAGAAGGAGCATGTCCAAACCATGCAACAAAATGAGGCTAGATACAGCAGTTCAAAGTGCACAAGGAAATGAAATCTTTAATACTGACTACAACAGTTCTTCAGAAGGCTCATAAAATAACCACTGAGAATGAAAAGGATGAGTTTTAGATTACTCACAAAACTGAATTTAAGATTTTTTTTTAAAGATTTATTTATTTATTTATACAAGCAATGGGTACAGTCAGAAGCACAGGAGGGTGAGAGAATTCACCAGAGCCAGAGTGGGGAGCAGAGCAGGCAGAAGGACCGAAGTACACTGCTGAGGGGAGCAGCAAGCGGCAGGAGAGGTCTGCGCGCCATGTGGGACCCTCCTCCGGTGGCCGGGGAGCAGCCGGGGATCGAACCGGCGCTGCAGAGGCTGCGGGCAGCTTCGCAACCCAGCGCTCAACCGCTGAGCCACTGGGGAGGCCCCTTAAGATTTTTAAATATACAACTTTTCATCACAATATCCACAGCATTTTATATAGTACAACACATATGCCAAAGGGTTTTTAATGATTTTATTAAAAAATAACCAAACTGATTCCATCATCAAAAGAATTTCTGTACTTTACTGAAAATTTCTAAAACTCAATACTGTATTTACTGAAAAAAACCAAGTGGTTAGAGCACTGAGAAAATCTAGATAGTTAATTAAAAATCTATGACAAAAAGCATATATCCTACACTCTGTATGGCCTATTATGCTATCCTTTCCCAGCGTGTATCCCCGCAAGTATACTGACAAATGGTACTTAAACAAATTTTCACAATGCAATTTTTTAAAATCATGATTTTCAAACACATTGTTTTTTAAACCACATTAAATGTCATATATGCATATTAGAAATTTTGGGGAATTTAATAGTTGAAAGAAGCTGAAAAATTACTATAAATCTACTTATTCAAGAGAAATTATCTTCAAAATTTTACCGAAATATAATCATTCCAGTAATACTTAGATATAATATACATATTACAGTAATTTACATATACTAAATGATATTGTTCTACCTTTTCTTTACATGATTTTGTTTTGTTTTACAAAGTTGTAATATTACATATATAATTTTGTAACTTGTTTGTCCACTTGGCATTATAATATGGTCAAGTTTTAACTTTATGAATTTTTGGAGACATTATAATTCATGACTGAATATTTAAGGAGAATGTACTATAGTTAAAAAAAGAATTTCCTTTTTTTATACCTTTGCATTTACTATCAAAAATGAACACATTTTATTACAGAGTAATAGCACTAACAACTTAGTAATTAACAAAAAAACATAAGTATTTCTATATATGGAAAGTTGTCAATTTTTAAATAATTTTGCTTTGTTTTATTTGAATTACTAGTTAATATGTTTCTTGCTGTTGATTAGTTATATTTTCCTGAAATTTTTTACTTACTTGTTTTTTGAAATTTTTGTGTCTCTAGCAATTTATGACTTTTATGTAAAAACAGTAAATCTTAGTCCTACCTATTGCAAACACTTTCCCTGAATGTATTACTTGCCCTTTTTGCCCTTTATTTTTCAGAAATTTTTACTTTTATCTAATGAAATTTAGTTTCACTTCAATTTTTTTTAAAGATTTGTTTATTTATGCATACAAGAGCTGGGGTACAGGCCAGAGGTACAGGGAGGTGAGAGGATTCACCAGAGACAGAGTGGGGAACAGTACAGGCAGATTGACCACAAGGACACTGCTAAGGGGAGCAGCAGGTGAGACAGGAGAGGTCTGCCGCACCATGTGGGTTTCTCCCTGGCAGGCCGGGGATGGAACTCGTGCTGCTGAGGATGCGGATTGCTTCATAGTGCGGTGCTTAACCCCTTGCGCCACCAGGGAGCCCTCACTTCAGTTTTTTATATGCCTAATAAACTCTGGCTATCTTCCACCATCTAATATGTGATAAAAATTTAATTGTATTTTCATCCAGCTTTAATAACTTGATGACTTTCATAAAAAGATGCCGTGCCTTAAAATTATGTCTTTATTTCAAAACTTCCTTCAATAATTGTCATTCTTTTTCAAAAGTAAAACCAAAATAAGGGAAAAAACAACACAGAACAACAGTTTACAGATCAAAAGTCCGGGTCCTCTCAAGTCTAAACCACTGTTTGGGCACATATTTTTTTCAATGTATATAAAAAAATCAACATGTAAATAAGTCTGTACCTTACTGACATTTTATCCCTTTCCCTCATGAGCTCTTATTTCCCACCCAATGAAAACTGGAGAATGTCAAATAAAGATTATATTAATAATAATTCTGAATACACAAGAAGGGATACAGTCTTTTCATTCAAATTCCCAGACTTAATTACACAATTATTTATTCAAGCAATGATAGTTCAGAGATTTGATAAGTCTTAAAACACTGTTTTGGATATGCTGGCCTAGCTTTTTTGAAAATCACTTCAGACAATACAAAAGTTATGTTTTGTGAATATAAAGTATGCAAATCAAATATTAAAAGAATGAAAGATAACAAACTCACTTGGGATATACCGGTTCATAAAGGTACTTGTCCCCTCTTGTAGAGGTAATATGGAAAAACAGAATGTAGCCATTTGCTGTCTGAAAGATAAAAAATTCATTTAACGTAAATTAAATTAAATTTAACATAAATTTAGTCATAGTAGACTATGACTAAAAGCCTGACTCTGAATTTTACATCTCTTATTACTTTGAAAAGACTTTCACTTAAAAAAACCCTCTCTTAGAGAGTCAAATTATGCACATAAAAAAGATTTTAACATAACCCATATTGCTTAACATAACTCTCAAAAGGTTTTATAGATTAGAAAATATTTCATAGGTAGTTAGATCAATAATTCACAGTTAATGTAAGTTGTAAAAAACAGTGCCAATATATGATCAGGGAACATATCCATAACTTGCGAAGCTCAAACAACTAATTTACAATTACATTAATATAAAACACAGTACACTTAGCTATTCCTACCAAACATTCCAGGCACTATAGTGAAATAGCAAATGACCAAGCTATTTTATACTAATATTGAATTCTTATGATTTTTAGAGGCATGTGGGCTTTTGTCCAAAAAGCAAAGAAAGTTTTTAAAAATTATTCAAGGTTTCAAATATCTTTCCATTACAGACTTTGTTTTCACTTAAAGCAATACCCAAAGAAACTTCTCCAGCAAAGCCACATATTTTTTTAAGCTATAAACTTTCCAGTACTCCTAAACTTTAGTTCTACATACTGGTATACAAAAAAGAAAAAGGGTAAGATTTCAGAGATCATCATTCTAATCTCCCATGTGAAATTTAAAAGTGCTCTAATGTAGAGAACACGGAATGAAAAGAAAAATGGATTTCAATGTTTCACAGACATCATGACCTTTATGCCAATTAGTGACTAAAATTTAGAAGGAAACACCACACTGTGCAGATGCTAACCCAATGAATGCATGCATGCTTGGGTTTAGGTAAAGGTTGGTAAAAGAAAACCAGTTTTGAGTCCAGTGATGGATCGTTATTCACCTCTCTAGATGAGAGGCTGCTATATTACAAATTCATTTCTTTTTTTAAATGGCATTCTGTTTAGCACCTGAGCCTTGATTTTCCACACTGTTGAGACTGGAAGAAAAGCGGCATAAGTGGTTTTTCATATGGAAATAAAAGGTCCTACAATAGTGGGAAAACTAAAGTGGGAAAAGACCAAAGTGGGAAAACTAAATCTGTAATTTCAAAATATATTACAAAGTTAAAATAAGTAAAATGATTACAGATATTCAATATCAACAATCATTTAAAAAGGCAAATTAAAACTACAAGATACCAATACACACACAGAGAAGGGCTAAAATTAAAAAGACATACTATGGAGAAAGACAAAACATCTTAATTTCACTCATGTGGTACACAGAAAAAACAAACAGATGAACTAAATAAAACAAAAATAAACTTTTAGATTTTAAGACCAATTAATGGTTATTAGAAGGGAAGGGAGGTAGGTGGGTAAATCAGGTAAAAAGGGACAATCCTATGAAATGCCAAGGATAAAAATCCACTTTTAGTTTTAAACTTAATGTACTACATACATGTGTTGGTTTTTAATGATGTACATCTGGAATTTATATGGTATAATGCGGTCTTAGAGACTGGATATAAATATACTCTGTAGGATAAGATATATTAATTTAGATAAAATATTTAGTGAGAGTTTGGCTACTTCTTGAAACAAAAGGAAAACTGAAGCTTTCCATATGAAAAAAATACCGCAAACTTGTTTTCAAGTTATTTCAAACAGTAGTGTGTGTTCTACTGCAATTAAGATGGTTTGTAAAACTGATAGTCTCTCCTTGAATACAGCAGCTGCCAATTAAATATGATGAATTTGATGACTTAATGGAAAAAAGTAATGAGTTCTTCTGGAATAGGTTCATAAAGATTTGGGGGCCAAATAGGTTTTTGGTAGCTGCAGATTCCTTTATGAAAAAAAAAAAAAGCTATTGCATAATCAATTTATAATTTACCTAGTAACTGGGCATCTTTGTTTTATAATGAGGCACTCTGCATTATTTTTAGTTACCTTATAAAGTAACTTATTTAAGGTAACTTATAACTTTAGTTACCTTATATACTCCTTTTAGTCTAGTCACAATGAAGATGGATGATCAGAGCTACTTAATACCTAGTTATTATTGGGGGGGTGGTTAGGATAATATGTAAGCCAATATGTAACAAAAAGTGTTAGTGTTATTATGAGTAAATTAGATACACACTAAATATTCCCATAAGCTGTTCTGTGCTGGGTACAGTAAAATATAAGGCAGCAGACTCCAGTGAAACAACTGTGAATACAGAATGTCTAAGAAAAACTTTGGTCATCTAAGAAAATTCTCAATTTAAAGAAAAGTGGTTGGATATAAAGTGAGTGAAATTTTCTGAGTTTGATTTTGGAATGAGCCAAAAATTATACTTTTTAGCACTACAGTCATTAATCAGAATGCAGGTGTAATCCATTGTGAGACTCCTTATATATAAAATACTTGAAAAACGTATTTGGCAGTGGTTACTGGCATCACTAAAAGGAGGACTCCACTAGAAAATATGTACCCAGGATTTTGACATATAGAAACTCCCTAATTCATTACAGCATTTGTTCAAGGTGATTCACTACATAACTTTGAGGTAAGATAAAGAACCTGACTTTGCAATTTATAGGCTCTTAGCAGTAAGGCTGAACTTCAAACACTACAATGGTAGCCAATGTTACAATACAAAGTTGATAGAAAATTAAAATAAACAAAGTTAAGCCATCATTTCAGTAATGTTCTAGATGGTTCTAGTCTGGGAGACTGATTCAGGATAAACAAACACTGGCTAGAAACTGAGTGTTAAGTCACACAAATCTCTGCTGATAGCATATATGCCTATTACTTTACAGATGGCTAGTTTCCATTCCTTCTTATATTGAGTTGTATTTGTATGTTCCAGACAGTGAAGATGGTGCGTTGCACTTAATTTATATGCTGTCAGGTAACTCAATCAATATATAAATTAGGTAACACTAATTTGCACTATAAGAGAAACAGATGTTGCAAGAGGGAAAAATACCATAGGAGCTTTCAAACTACTTTTAAAGAATTTTTTTCATTCATTTTGAGAAAAGACTAATAAAGGCAATAAAGCACCCATAAATAAATAGATATACACGTCATCTGTTGGCAAAGAGGAATGAGAACTTCTATATACTTTTGGTAGGAACATCAAGTGGCATAACTTTGAAAAAAGTTTATCATTTCCTTAAAACATTAAAGACACATCCTACCTTATGAATCCACTCTTAGGTATTTACCCAAGAGTAAAGGAAATATATACCCATATATGTACACACATGTTCATAGCAATTTTGTTTAGAATAACAAAAAGTGTAAACTCAAATGTGCATGAATAGCTGAATGGATAAACTAATTGTCCATTAGATTGAATACTCCTCAGAATGAGCTACTGATTCATGACAACATATGAATTTCCAAAGATTTATGCTGAAAGAAATCAGAAAATATAAGAGCACATATTGTATGATTCCATTCATATAAAACTTTAGAAAATGTAAACTAATCTGCATAACAGAAAACATATTAGTGGTTGGTTTTGGAGAGAGGTGGGTCATGGCAAAGGGGTGAAGGATTACAAAAGTGTAAAAGGAAATCTGTGGGGATGATTGATTACAGCAAAGGTTTCAAAACATCAAATTGTATACTATTCAAATATGTGTTTATTGTATATCAATTGTACCTTAATAAAGTAGGGGGAAAGGATGAAAGTGATAGTTGGACTTATAGCAGAAACTTAAGCTCTCTTGAAAAGCTTCTACCATCATATATAAAAGCTTCATCAAGCCTACTGGAGTATGAAGTTACAGTGAAAACAGAGAACTACCAGATATGCGACTGAGAGTATGTTGACCCATCAGCACTAGTGGAGCTATTATATGACTATAGTCAATTCAGGGACAGCAAGCGAGACCAGACTGACCAAGCCCAGCTCAAAACATAAAATGACAAAAAAAATGGTTGTTCTGAATCACTAATAAGCAAACATAAAAATTAAATAATGTGAAAAGTAAGAATCCTAACAAAAACTAGCTATAACTTAAGGAAAAGTTAAGGATGCCAAGTTATAGAGACAAAAGCAAAATTTCAGAGATCCAAAGAAATCCGTCAGAATTGCACAATAATCACTCCCAAAATAAAGTCTGGTCACAACAAGATTAAAAAAAAAATGAGATGAATGGCTACTATGTATAGGACTCCATTCTTCCACATCTCGCTATGTTGCATCAATTGCATTAGAATACTCTTTTAACCTATCATTTGGTAATCAAATGCATTAAGATGCTAGGAGGAAAAAACACAATAAAACAAAAATTAAGCCTAATTTTAAACACACATTAATCAGGGAAATTAAACTTTACCTTATTCACAAGTAATTTACATTTTAAACTTGTGACAGTAACTTTCATGTTTTAGCAGAAGAGACCATACTTCCAATTTTCTGAGTGTTAAAAGGAATATTAATGATAGTACTGGAAACAGATGGAACGGTTATTTGGGGCCAGATCAGAGGCCCTGCATACTAGTCTAAGCAGTTAGCAAATATTTTATATACAATGGGAAACCACTGGAAAGAAAATAGGAATAAAGAACTGTGATTTAGAAATAGCTATGCATAAAATTAAGATTCATTTCAAGTTGAGGAAAAACATAGCTAAAAGTTTTTGCATTCTAGGCAATCTAGAAAAGATAAAAGGCCTGTAGTAAGATAATGGCAATAAGAACAAAGGGAACAAAATAGACTGAGATAGGCGATAACTTTATGGTGCTTAGATGGGAATGCAAAACCAAAAAAAAAAAAGCTAAGGTTTCTTCCCCTATCATAGTTGCAACAAAAAATACTTATTATGCCTAAATATATTGTGCTGCCAATTATTAGATAGAGTCCTAGAAATGAGACGGTACTTAAAATTCACTTTAATGCTCCTTGTGACTGATTATCTATTAATTGTTGAACACTTTGAAGATAATAACAGTCTGGTGTCATGT